CGGTTCAGCCACCAAAAATCTGAACCGCAATGGAAAAAAAAAAAAAGTAAAAATCATATTATTGCAGCTGTCCCCATAAAATACTGTACTCACACGAAGTTATTTTGTAGGGACAGCTGTAAGAATATACTATACTTGCAAGCTTGAACATAAAGTTGTGGTAACAATATTTGCTTGATTTTTACTTTCTTAGATGTGATTTTTATAAGTGTTCTCCCATTTGTTGTAGAAATAAACTAATGATACAACCATATCAAACCAAAACTGACTATTTATTTTGGCATGGCATGAAAATCTGCAGTGTCCTCCTCACTGTGCCTAGCACAAGTGCCAGACATTTTTCTCCTATAAATAAGGATCTTGTCCAGGTTATGGGTTAAAAGAATGCAAAGGAAAAAGTCTGAAATATTCAGACTGAATTCTGAAGCTTAAACTTTCAGCATAGCTTTCAAAGCAATATGATGATATGAGCTCATAAATAGCTTAATCAGAAGTCCAGCATAGTGGTAGCTGTCTCAAGCTGTGTAACAGGCCTTTCAAAGGAGTATGAAGTAACAGAATTGAAATGTATTTGGCAAGATGCCACCACACCATCCCAGCCTCACGGATATGTACAGTACACAGCAATTCATCATTTTATACTATGTGGCACTGACATTTCTTGTGTCAAACCGAAAATAGCTATAGCAAAAGTAAATTGAGCCCCACATGTGGAGGCCAGGCCAGGCTAGGCCTCCACATGTTATAAACACTATAATATTTAACAGAAAAGAAAAAAAAAAAAAAAAGACCAAATTGAGGAACGACAACTGGACTTTCACATTCGTCAGCAGTGTGGGGAAAGCCTCTTGGAAAGGACAGAGGCTCAAGATAGGGATTCAGAGAACAAAAAATGCACAACTGCTTTCCAAGTAGCACAGAAGTGAGACTGAACTAGGCAGACTTCCCCTCAGGATGCAGTATATAACCAGAGTTCCTCAAGCCTTCAAATTCCACGAAGACCTGGAGTATCTTACCCTACAGAAGTGTACATACTAGCCGCCTGCACACACCCCAAACCACCAAAGTTGGAGGGGAAAAAAAAAAAGATAAACTCTATCAGAAGCCAGATTCTAAGTAGCAGCTTAAATGGATTAAAGAATTAAAAAAAAAAAAAAATGAACACAGGAATAGAAGCACAAAACTTACTTAAAGAATTTAGCTATTCAAGCAAGCTGTCAGAAGAGCACTGGTAATCAGTGTTTTAACTCTGATGCAGATTTCTTTCTGGATAACTGAAACCCACCAGAGCTCTAACATCTGCACACTAGACTATGCAAAAGAAATTAAGACACCATAAATATCCCTTTGCTAGCTGAACTCTCACATCTGTGCAAGCCAATCAAGCCAACAAAATAAAAAAATCCGCAATTCCACTTTGCAGAACATGACTTATAAGTCCAAAAGAACCATAATGATCACCTCCTTTGGTCTCCAGTGGAACACAGGATGCCACACTGCCCTTGGATTTGATCTCCTGCTCAAGAGCTGCTTTAGCCTGCTTTGCTAAAAGCCCAGATTTCAGCAATACATTCTCTGCTAGGGGTTGGAATGGGCTCCAAGAAAATCCTTGTGGTCCATGGCCAGAAGAAGCAGAACTCACAGAAATACCATATCAAGCTAAAGCAGGAGAAAAAAAATTTAAAAATTAAAAAATGAGTGAATGAGTAGTATTCAGAACAACACTCTCTTAATCTATATTTGCATAGTGACTAGTACAACAAAGCCCTTGAAGAGTACAGCTTTTAAATACTACCACAATGCAAATATTTTTCTGATGGCGCCTCTGCCATCCCTGAGGAGCAGGAGCTGCCTGCCATGCCTGACCCTGCCTGCTCACAGTAAGGTAAGCAAAAGAAGACTCCCCAGACGACTGCCACTCTGCAGCTGCTGCACAGACTGAAAGTGTAAATGGTTTAGGACACAAAGAAGGTAAGTGTCTCCTACTCCTAAGTGGAAGGCAGAAGCAGAAAGCAGGACAATGCATTTCAGCCAGCACATTTTTAAGGTATCTTCAGGGAATTTTCCATACAGGAGTAGTCTGCACTTCTGGATTTTGAAAAAGCTCTAAAAAAATTGTTGACTTCAGAATTACCTTCTACTCTTCGTCTGCCTGCTCTGTGACAAAACCAAACAGAAAAAACCCTTATGAGTTGTCTCATGACTACTCCAAACATGAGTGTTTGCTATGCCTACAGCCTGCCCAAGTCAAATCAGTCTCCTCTTGCAATGGACAAAATTCTATCTCCTTTTAAGGTACCAGCCACTAGCACTCCCGCACAAAGCCAACATTTAACTCACCTACATGGAAAAGCGTATTTACTGGGAGCCAAGAAGGGGACTCTGTCACACTGAACGCTCCATTAGCCTGGGTACAACTTCACCTGAAAACTTGCAGCAAAGGGCAAACCATATGCCATGCCTGGCTTCCTGCGCCGGCCACCTCCCTACAACTTGATCTGGAGATTGTGTGGTGTGATGGATCGGGGCACTTGTAGTCTCACCTGGCTCACCACTTGCCCCTGTGATCAGTCACTTTGACATGAAGAAGGTGGGATAAACCCGGGGTGGGGAAGAGGTTGATACAATCATCCATCTGGGCAGCAGTCAGAGCAGATTCAGTGTTTCACAAAACCCCATCCCGAGCTGAGAAGAGTCATCACTGTTACCCAGCTCACAAGAAACACAAGAGAAATATCATAGTACTCTCAAATCAAAAACATAAAAATCTAGTGTGATATTTATTGAGCAAGCATGTGTTTCAGATTTGAAACCACTCTGTATGGTCTTCTGTGAGAGACTGCTGAAGTGTGTTGTGGAAGTTAATCAAAACACGTTATTTCTGGTTTAAGGTATTTCTTTTGACAGCCATCCACATCTTTATGAGTGCACTGGGACTACCCATATGAGCTTTATTCTCACTTCCAAGGGTTTAAAACATCTAGGCAACAGCCATTAGATCCATTCCCTGGCATGATACTGCAAAGGGCATTTCTGTAGAACATTTGTCCAAGCAAAGCCCTGAGCACATGAACTGTGCACAGGGGTTTTCCAAGGAGTCTGATGTAAACTACATTGGAAATGACTGAAGGTGGACAGATCTGTGACAGCCTTCTCACAAATGCTGTTTGTCATCAGAATGCTGCTCTGCTAGTCTAGATTACAAACTTCCCAGGGGTACCAGATGAGTCCATCATGGCCAGGAGCAAAGCCACCAAGCAAAATCACATAAAGCCAATAACATTTATAACAGTTCTTCTCCAAGGCAGCCAGTAGCTAGCCCCAAGAGATAAAACCCAGTAAGTCTCACTGTGTTCTCAGGCAGATTGCTGGAAATAAAAAACTATGAGAAAAATAAAACAAATGAACCTGCTGAGAGAAAGCTGGCACAATATTGCTTAGGGGCATGGTTTAGTTGGGGACTTGTCAGTGTGAGGTTAATGATTTACTCAATGATCTTAAAGGGTTTTTCCAGTCGAGGCAATTCTGTGGTTCTGTCATTACTGTCAAAGGAAGAGCCTCCTGCCAGGGCAGCAGCCTACAGACCTCTTACAGATGAATGCTGGGGGGGTCTCTCCATGCACAGGGCTGCAATCGCTACCCCACTCTGCTGCAGAAGCCAGGTCTCCCCAAGCAGGGAGCCACCAGCCACGCTTGGCACTGGAAGCTGCTCTCCCCACCACCTGTCATGGCTAGAGAGATAGAATCACAGACTGGTTTGCATTGGAAGGGACCTTAAAGCTCATCCAGTTCCAACCCCCCTCCATCAGCAGGGACCCCTTCCACTAGACCAGGTTGCCCAAAGCCTCATCCAACCTGGCCTTGAACACTTCCAGGGAAGAGCAGCCACAGCTTCTCTGGGCAACCTGGGCCAGGGTCACAGTGTCACCCTCACAGCAAACAGTTTCTTCCTCAGATCTCATCTCAACCTCCCCTCTTCCAGTTTAAAGCCATTGTCCCTTGTTCTGTCACTCCCTGCCCTTGCCCAAAGTCCCTCCCCACCCTTCCTGGAGCCCCTTCAGGTACTGGGAGGCCACTAGAAGGTCTCCCCGGAGCCTTCTCTTCTCCAGGCTGAATAGTCCCAACTCTCTCAGCCTGTCCTCACAGCAGAGGTGCTCCAGCCCTTGGGACATCCTCGTGGCCTCCTCTGGACTCGCTCTAACAGGTCTGTGTACTCACATCCTCCCCACACCCTCGTACATGCGGGTCTCGTCCACCAGCATCATGACCTCCGTGTCGGTGAGGTGGGCGTGCTTCTTCGTCTTGCTGAGCTGCTCGATCTGGATGTCGGCCAGCTTCACCTTCTGCTGCGTGTCTATCACCTTGGCCTGCAGCTC